GTCAGTGCCTTAGTCTTCTTGGCCCGCTTCACGCCCTTCTTGTCCATCTCGTCCTCCCCTCCCTTGCCCTTGACGGTCTTGTTGCCAACGCGGCGCGCCTTGCGCTTGTTCTTGGCGCCCCGCACACGTCGACCCTTCTCCCAGTCGCTGCAGTCACTGCTGCTCTCACACGGCGCCATCGGCTCATCCACTGCCTTGCGCTTCATCTGCACAGCAGCCGCAGCAGATGCAGCGGCCTGAATGGCGGCCTGGCGCTTCGGGCGGGCAGGACGGGCGTCGGTCTCCATCAGGGGCGGGGCGAAAGAGAGAAGGAGAGCTCAGCAGCCGCGAAAGAGAGTTCAGCCACAAAGAGGAGTTAGCGATGGATGTAAATGACCGGATCCTGGCCGCGTCAGATCTTTGTTAGGAGGTGGTTTCTTCCGCCGTGCCTTGCGCTCGGCAGATCTGCCACCCGCTCCCTTCCTCTCAGCATGGATGCAGGTGAGGGTGAGGACGACCATCGCATGACGGCCCGGCAGCTGGCCTTGCTTAAGGCCGCCGGTGGGCAGAAACGCAAACCCATCATGGACGTCGACACCAGCAGTAGTGACGCGGAAGGCTCGGAGTATGGCAAGGGAGGGCGGCACAGAAAGGCCGGCAAGAAGAGGCAGCTGGGGGATAGGAAGGGTAAGGGTAAGGGCGATAGGAAGGGCCGCGGGAGGGATAAGATGGAGGTGTCGGACGACGAGGAGGATATCGAGGTGAGGACTGAGGGATGCAGATGGCTGCTGATGGGTGGTGGGTGCATTTCCGTGTGTTTTGTGGTTTGGCTTCGTTACTTTATGCAGGATGTAGTTGAGGTTGGTCATGCTGATGCGTTGAAGGCCCTGAAGAAGATGACCATGAAGCTCGAAGGGCAGCTCAAGCAGGCCAAACAGGCCGAAAAACAGGTTCTTCGTGGAACAGAGAGGCTGGCGGAATGGAGATGGGAGTACTTGACTTTGTGATGCGTTTGCTGCGTGTGCGTGTATTGATGCCATCAGGCTCGTGAGGTGTATGAGTTGAGGAGGGCCGCCCCTGATGCCGAATCGCTCGAACACCAACACCGCATCCAGGTGAGCGAGTGGGTCAGGGCCAATACCATACACACGCCGACCGACATCAATACACACAGCCTCTCCTTGTATGTGTGTGGTGTCGTTCAGGAGGTGGATCGTCAGATTCGCGTGTGGTCGAGCATGGTGTGTGCAGACGCCAACACGCAGATCAGCCACATGGACAAGGTCGCTACCAGGCAGATGAAGGAGAACCTCCGCAAACTCGACGCCATCCGACACAGACTCAACGAAATGGACCAAGACGACACCGAGCAGGTCAACCCAACACAACCCGAGACAGCACAAAGAGAGGAAGGCAATCCACCTCCGTTCCTTTCCTCTGATGTGTCAGGTCACATCGCCGCTTGAGGGTCTGCCTGAGGCCCTGTGGATGGCCGACGGTGTGGGGATGGGCGCCATGCTGGGCTTCGTGTCGTATCTGGAGTCGCTGGCGGGCGTCAACACCTTCTTCCACCACCTCACCCAGTCAAGCGGCATGCACCCCATCGCCGAGTTGGAGGACTCACCCAAAATGAAAATCGCTAAGAAATGGACGGCCGGTGAGGAGAGCGGGAAGCCGACACCTTTGTGTGTGCGACGACGTGTGGTGACGTGTGGTGTGTGTGTTGTGATCAGGTCCGTTGTCCGAGTGTGTTGACGTGCGCATCTACCACCGGCCCACCAAGTCGCTGGTGTACCTGCTGGAGCGCCTCTCGGCCACCGTCGAGAGTGTGGACCTGCAGTGCCAGTACGAGCACCCCATCTACAGAAACGGCCAGCGTGCGCCAGAGAGACAGGTGCAGTACAACGTGGAGCGAGACATGCGTAAGAGGAAGGGCGACTTCCAGAAGGTCGACCTGCCACAGAACAAGGTGGGGGCGCTGCCAAGACACACAGGCTTTCTTCCACTCATCATTGCTATGTCTCCCTCTTGTGTGTCCGGTAGGAGCCGATTGTGTTTGAGCGTGTGGAGTCAGCCAGCGCTGGCAATGTGTGGCTGAAGGTGGCCGAGGACCGCATGTACCAGATGCCGCACCTGCAGGGCCTCAGTGTGGTGGACGTCACCATGGCTGGGGCTCATCGGTGGATCCGCGAGGCTGACGGGGGCATCAAATCGCTGCACATCATCTGCGACAAGGTGAGGAGGCCACTCGGAGAGGGAAAGGGGATACATAGCTGCATGAACGACTGATCTCATATTGCTACTTTGCCTCCAGGAGGATCCGAATTGCCGAGGGGCCGCTGCGAGTCTCAGCCAAGTAGCAAACGCCGTCGCCGGCACGCCATCAGGTAATGAAAGACACCACACAAGGGCGGCAGCGTCGCTATGCATTCCTCTGTCCCCCGTATGTATGTATGTATGTATCAGCCAAGAGCCTCACGTCGCTGACTGGCCGCATCGAGTACTCCGGAAACCCGCACACAAACAATAGCTTCATCGATGTGGTGGGGGTGGCTGAGGACGAGGGCGGCCCGCTTGGCTTCATCGGCAACATCGTCGGCAACCTGATCGGCACGAAGCGGGACAAGGCAGGCCCCCTGGAGGAGATCGAGATGGCCATCGGGGAGATCCGAGACACACACAAGATACAGGTGGGAAAAGAACACAGCACCTTCTGCATCCATGGCTATCCCATCGACCCTTCCGTCTGCGTGTCGCCTGCACCAGAATCTGCATCGTTTTCGCACCAAGTGCCTGGCCCCTGACGCCCGTGAGGACTACTTCAACCGCATCGAGGAGGGCGAGCTGCAGGGCGGCCCCACCGTCCATCTGCCCTTCAGATGCAACAAGAAGGCCCTCACCGACTCCGTCTCGACGGTGGAGGTGTGCTGCCAGGAGGCCGAGAAGGTGACCCTCGACAGCCGTGCGTCTGCCGACACCATCGATGAGGCCCCCGGGCTGGAATCGCTGGTGTGTGAGCATGCCCACGAGCTCACCATCACACCTGCGGGCGGCACCCAGCAGCTGCCATCCTACATCACACACGACCCCACATCGCTCTTCCCGAGCGTGTCGTCTGTCGTGGTTGAGCAGAGAGGGGAGGGCAGGAGTGTGTATGATGGTGGGGCGGGTGATGTACTGCATGCCCTCTCCCCCCACCTAGAGAAGGTGCGTTTTGAGTTGTCTGCCCGTCCGAACCCTCTCGCCACGTGCACACTGCTGCCTGATTCCCTGGGGTCTGTCGCGGATGAAGGTGGAGAGTTAGCAGTCCAGTTGAAGTACAATGTCGACCGTCTCAATCACAATGCAGAGGGCAACTATGTATGGTACCAAAACGTGTCTATGGAGTGGAAGTTATGCAGAGAGAGAGATGCAGTGAGGCAGGTGATGGAGAATGGCCGTGTCTCCTCACTCGAAGTGCAGATCAGCATCAATGAGTGGTTCCATGCCCGCGACCTGCGCACGTTTTTTGCTTCATTCGCTGAGTGTGTGGTAGTGGCGTTTTCAGCCTTTCCCGCACTCAAAAGTGTCGTGCTGTCTGTCCAGTACAAGCCCGGATATCTGGCTACTATGTTGAGGCAGGGGGCTAAGAAGAGGTGTCGCGTGACAGAGAGGGCTGACGGGACGATAGTGCTGCGGCCCAGCCAGGCCAGACAGAGAGCTAAGAAGGAGGAGGGAGAGGGAGAGGGAGAGGGAGAGGACGAGACAGACACCATCATCAAGAAAGAGGAGTAGACACACACACAATACACTCAATACATTGCATTACACCACTGTCTCAAGGGGAGGGAATTGGGGTGGGAGGCGCTGTACAGTCGTGCATCGATGGATCCATACATGTGTGTGCGGGGGGTGGATTGGCTTGTCGGCTCACGGATGGCGTGGAAGGCCTGCCTGCCTGCCTGGGTGTGGGATCACTACGTGCGAGTGCTACCACTACTAGCCTCTCGATGACACATGTGGCCCTCACTCCTTGCGGCCCTTCCTGCCAGCCCTGACAGCCATCTCATGTGTGTGAATGTGTGTGTGAATGGATGGATGGATGGATGGAATGCCTGTTGGACCGTCCACGTGAGAGACACTGACTTGACCGGGCAAATGCTTGTGGGTGGGTCAAACAACACACTCGTGTCTCCGTCTGTCTGTCTGTTCGTCTCACAAATGCACTCGGTCCTTCAACCAGCCACTGTACAATCGATCGTTATGCAGTACACCCACCCCCTCCCTCCCACGCACACACCATGGGGGCGGTCGGCCCTCTCTCTACCGACTAGTACTACACACACATCGCCACGGATTGCCATGCCAGCCACGTCGACCAAACGATCTCCATGATCATCCACTCTCATCGTCCATTAGTTTCCGTCGCCCACCATCAACCAATCTGTCAGTCTGCCTGTCTGTCTGTCCTCTTTGTGTTCAGCGGCTGCGTGTCAAAGTGCAATCACATGACGGGCAGCAGGGGTTGTGCTTTGGGCATCTCCTGCCTAATCTCAATCTCATTCTCTTGCGGCTGCATCTGGTACTTGATGACCTTGATGCGCGGCTTGGTGAACTTGTCACGCAAACTGCACACACACACACACACACACACACGTGTGCGTGTGTCTCTTGTCTGCCCATGGCGTGTGTCTGCGTGAGTGAGTGTGAAAGCGACCTCATCATTTTGTGGGTGAATATGGCGTGGCGGGAAATGTCACTCATCTGCCCGATAATCGCCATCAGCCGCTGTGCCACACACACACGCACAGACAGACAGAGTGAGACACACGTGCACACGACCAGCCCACCTGCATCTGTTCGTTTTGCTGGCTGATGACTTCTTCGATTGCACGTCTGTCGTTGGCTTGCTTCTCCTGCAGGTCTGACAGCCGACGTCTGTCCTGCCTCTGCTCTTCGTCAATGAGGCGTCGCTTCGTCATGAGTGACCCGCTCTCTTGCACACCCAAATTAATGAGGGGATACCTGAACGACACAACAGAGAGACATGAGTGAGTGTGCTTTGCTGCCTCAGATACTTGACATACTTGGGTCGCTCGTCATTCTTGTCGTCGGCGTGTGCTTTGTGTGCGGTCTGCATGAAGCGGGGCAGAGCGTTGGTGCCGTCGGCACGGTCGGATGAGGGAGCCGGGAAGGCAAACAGATCGTCATCCTGCTGACTGTCGCTCGCCGCCACCTGCCGCTCATGCTGCTGCCGCCGCTGCTGCTGCTGTGGCTTCGACTCAGCTCCAGGGGAGGTAAAAAGATCGTCCTCTTTGCCTTTGGCCGTGTCTGTGCTGGGTGCGGCGGGTGGGCTACCCGACGTCGATGTGAGGGCGAGCAGTGCCAGGCAAAGAATGATAAACTTCATCATGATCATCGCTCGTACCTCGTTGTCTGTATGAGCGAGTATGGTCTAAGGGAGAAGAATCTGTTTGGGATGGCGGTGCCGCAGCACCATAACAGGGGATAGCAGTAAGGGATATCAGGCAGTATAGGTCGGCGTTGCTGGTTGTGTGATTGGTTGCTGCTGCTGCTGCTCTTCGCTCGCGTCTATGATGTGTATGTGTACGTCTATGTGTGTGTGTGTGTGTGTGTGTGTTCAAATGACATGTTTGACGGCATGCTTGGCGCGCTTGGCTGATGCATGTCTTCCACTCCTCCTTGAATGTTTTTTTTGAACTGACGCCCATGTTCCATCCATCCATCCATCGATCCATCAATCCATTGCATACGCCTGTCCCGTCCTTGACACGCCGCACCCAGCCAGCCAGCCAGCAGCCATACCATGCATTCGACACATGTATGTTATCTCTCTATCACTTTCTCGCATGAAGACCATTCCGGCACACGCACACCCAGGCAGGCAGCCAGAAAATGACACGAGATGTAAGTCGGTGCCTCTGTATCTTCTGTTCGGCTTCAGAAAGACGGTTCTCGACAGCCAAACACAGCCAGCAGCCATTCACCCCACAGGAAGAAGTGAAAGCGATAGCCGCACATACGTCCAGGCAGACCACACCCAATGCAGTCAGTCATTCGTGTGCATGTGTGTGTCGGTTGCGACCCCCACCTAACAGCGGGCATCCCAACAAACACCACACATCCATCCGTCCAGGCACACACACACACACCCCGCCTCTAGATGCCCCCTATCTGCCGGGCGCCCCGCTGTCTCATCCGAAGATGTTGTTAGTGCTCGTGCTCTGATGCACACACGCACACACAAGCTCACCCTCCGTCGCCCCATTCATTGTGGTTGTGAAGGCTTGCTTACGGCGGGTGGTGCCCTGAATCCGCCCGATGGGATGCCGGCGGCCCGCGTTGGTGCGAGCACGGCCTTGAGGTCGTCGCTGGAGTTCATGAAGTTGCCGAACATCTTCTTGCCCGTCCGCGGACGCACCTCGCCCCCAGCTGTCATACCCATGGCACCCATGGCCAGGCCGCCCATCCCAACACCGCCCCCCACGCCACCCGCGTCTTCCTTGCGGCCAGCGGGTGTGAGTGTGGTGGTCTCCGCTTTGTGTTCGAGCACGGTGGTGGTGTTGGTGGGCTTCTCGGGCGGCAGCACGGAAGTGTCTGTGTCGTAGGTCATGTGGGCCACGGGGTCGGCGGGCTTGATGTAGGGCAACTCGTCGGCGGTGAACATCTTCTTGTTCGAAAAACGCTCCTATACAACAACAGCATATAGAGATAGAGACAGACACTGCGTCGGTCGGTCTGTGGGGTGTTTGCGTGTCTGTGTGTGTCAGGTCAGGTACGGGTGGCTCCTTGACGGTGGGCGGTTCGACTAGTTTGCGAGTGGGTTTGTACGGCTCGGCGACCACCTTGGGATCGCGCATCTTCTCGGGGTTGAACTGCGACTCGAGCAGCGCCTGCATGCGAGACGACTCCAACTGCACCAACTTGCTACCGCGGCCAACACCCTCTTCGCACATGTCACCTAACATAAGGCACGCAGTATTTGCAGGGGGTGAGTGTGTGTGGTAATGTGCCTGATGGTATGTGCGCACCGCACCTATCTGCTGGCCGTCGATGTTGCCCTGTATGTGTTTGTTGTCTTCGTGTTGCAGGGCGGCCTGCATGCCCAGTCCGATGTTCTGGTCACGGCTCATCCCCTCGTGAAACACCTTCTTGCCACCCTGCACACACATACAGAGATACACAGAGAGAGAGGTGCATTCATTAGAGCCCCGTTGCCCCTCCCTTCTCTCTCTGTATGTGGGACATCCATCCGTCAGATTGCCTTGAAATAGGCGTTCATGGCGATGTCATGGGTGTCGTGGCGGAGACCCTCGGCCAGCGATGGACGCACGGGACTCAGGTGCTCACCAGACGACACGGGCCTGATCACCACAAACAAACAAAGGCACCCAGAAAAATGCCCCTCTCCTTCCTCTCCTCTCCCTCTCCTATGTGTGTGCGTGTGTGTATTGTTGGCGTACCCGGCGTTGTCCCCGAAGGCGATGGAGCTGCGGAAGGTGGGCGACTGGGCGGCGGCCACCGAGGCGGCCTGGCCGATCCCAACAGGGCCCATCTCACCGCCGCCCGTCTGGAACACGTTGGAATAGAGATGCGGGCAGTCACGGGGCTGCTTCGACAACCTGCACACAACACAGCACAGCCAGTGCGACCAGCGCATTCAATTCAGTGCAAACGCAACAAAAGAACGTGTGGATGCAGACGCAGACGGACGGATGGACGGACGGACGGATGCCTCATCCCTCCCTTACCTACCATGCCAGTTTGCCCTTGCCCTCAGCTTTCGTGTAGCCGGCGTCCATGGTACTTATCTTCCTCTTTCAATCACACGCCGGCCGATTCACACAGCACTAGGAATGCAGATGGCTGATGGCACTGGACAATAGCACGGCCGCAACGAGGCTCAGCCTCCTGCAGTAGTTTCCAGCGCCGACCGCAGCCGACGCGTCAGCAACAACACGCTACAGCAGAGTGTGTGGCACAGACGGTCTTGCGACGCCACCGGTGGGTAGAGGCGCGCTGCCTCAGCCCTGTGGTGGCCACAGAATGCCCATTTAAGCCGAAAAAAGGAAAGTCACCGTGAAACTCTTCTGTTGAGGCTTAGCTCGCAGATCCGGGAAAGGATGGTTTGTCAATCGGCTTGTCAACTGACACAGATGCAGTGGTGGAACTTGTCGTTTCTGTCTGTGTGTACCGCATCTTCATCAATGGCTGCATTCCTGCCCTCGCCTCCTCTTCGGCAGCTCAGATCTGCTGCTGCACGGTCAACATCTCCGTCACTGCAGCTGCGCGCTGCATCTGACAAGGCGGCCACACCAGGTGAGAGGTAGATCCGATGAGTCAAGCTCGTGTTTGACGTGTTTGTGCTGTTTGCTGCAGGCTCTGCGAGGCATCGGGTCGTTGTGTGGTTCCGAAACGATCTGAGGTGGCGTGCAGCAGACATTCAAAGGGTTCAATGCGTCATTGTGTGTCTTCCCTCGTGTCTGCCTGCAGGTTACATGATCATCCCGGCCTGAGTACGGCCATAGAGCAGGTGCGCCGGCTGGGAGCCGACAAGGCTGAGGTACTGCCTGTCTTCTGCATCGATCCAAGGCAATTCGGCATCTCAGAATGGTAGGCCAACCCACCTGTCAAGCCATGACGCCTCGCTATCCGCTAGCTGCATCTGGTGGGCGCGGCGCATGTGTGTGCGTCAGGGGATCACCGAAGACCGGCATCTTTCGCGCCAGGTTTCTGGTGGAGAGTGTGGCGGATCTGAAGCGGCAGCTGCGCGGGCTGGGCAGCGACCTGCTGGTCGCCATCGGCCAGCCTGAGACAATCCTCCCGGAGCTCGCTACTCTCCCATCAGGTGACCAAAAACCATGTACATGCGCTGCCATGTTCGTTGCATTGGTCTTGTGTTTTCAGAGAAGGGCCAGCCTGAGAGGGCGACAGTGGTGGCGAGTGAAGAGGTGACGAGTGAAGAAACTGCCGTCCAAGACGCAGTGCGAAGAAACCTGCGCTCACAAAAGGCAGAGGTAACAATGCAGAGCACATCCGACGGGCCACCGCTTTACTTTGCTCTTTCCCTGCCTTCTTCGTCAGCTGTCCCTTCATTGGAGTTCCACGCTGCACCACATCGATGACATCCGGTCGATCTTCGACCGCGACCTGCGCACCATGCCCACAGTCTTCACGCCATTCCGCACCAAAGTGGAGGCACGCCTGCTCCCAGGAGCGACCCTCCCCACACCTCAACAGGGAGACGTCGGCGCGGCTCCCAAGATCGACTTGACAAAGGCCTGTCTTGATGCGTCGTTTGACTTGGTGCCGAGAGTCGAGGATCTGCCGTGGGCTGGGGGGCGGCCGCCTGAGGCGCATTCATGGAGCCAACCAGCTGTGCTCGACTTCAGAGGTGCGAAAGACACATGAAATGGCCTCTAATGTCGGTGTATGTCGGCTGTCTGTCCCCCAGGTGGCGAGGAGGAGGGTCTGAAGCGCCTGTCGCACTATGTTTGGAGCGACCACATCGCCACCTACTTCGACACACGCAACGGGATGCTGGGTGCCGACTACAGCAGCAAGCTGTCGCCATGGCTGGCTCACGGCTGCCTCTCGCCGAGGAGGATATACGAGGAGGTGGCCAAGTATGAGAGCGAGAGGGTCAAGAACAAGAGCACCTACTGGCTGGTGTTTGAGCTGCTGTGGAGGGACTATTTCCGCTTCTTTGCCCTCAAAGTGGGCAGATACACACACACACTCACACACTCACACACACAGAGAGAGAGAGGGCAAAGACATGTGTATGTCTTATGTGTTTGCTTTCTTACCAACAACACCTGTGTCCCATTATTCATCTCTCTCTCTCTCTCTGTTTGTGTGTGCGTGCGTGTGTGTGTGTGTGTGTTCAGAATGGGCGGCGGGTGTTCCAGCAGCGCGGCATCGCTTTCACGTCGCCCCCACCGCCGCCAATACGACAAGATGGCAAAGCCGAGGTGACTGTAGGACAGCCGCAGATGGCTGGATAAAGGGCGAGAGGATTCGCTGTGTGGCTTTATCTCAGGAACTGTTGGATGCGTGGAAGAACGGGCAGACGGGCGTGCCACTGGTGGATGCCAACATGAGAGAGCTCGCCGCCACAGGTGCCTTGTGGATGAGTGAAAGCACTCAGACGGAAACAAAGCCCGCACTTCATTCATTACTCATTGCCTCTTGGTCTGTCTCTGTCCGGCTGCCTGCTGTCTGTCTGTCTGTCTGTCTGTCTGGTTCAGGTTTCATGAGCAACCGTGGTCGGCAGAATGTGGGCAGCTTCCTGGCGCTCGACCTCTGCCTCGACTGGTACGGGGACCAACACACAGCAGTTGAGACATGCTCGAAGGCTGTCCACCCACCCCTTCAGGCGTTATGGTGCTGACCACTTTGAGTCCCTTTTGCTGGACTATGACGTGTGCTCCAACTGGGGCAACTGGGTGGCCATCGCTGGACGCATAGGCGGCAGACTCAACCGATTCAACATACCACGGTACGGTCAGCCAGCCCCCCATGTGTGTGCGTCCGTCCATCCACCCTCCATCCGTTGGTGCAGGCAGGCCCGCACATACGACCCACAAGGCGAGTACGTCCGTGTGTGGTGCCCCGAGCTCCGGAACGTCCCCACCGAGTATATTTTCGAGCCCTGGACCATGCCAGCAAGTGTGCAGCAGAAGTCTGGGTGCGTCATCGGTGTGGACTACCCGCAGTGTGTGGTTGGTGCCAACCACTGGCCGCCGTCGAGTGCGAGTGGTGGCGGCAGGGCAGCTCGACCGCCGAGGTCGCCAAGCGGGCGTGGGAGGGGCGGGAAGAAGGGGCGCGTGGCGAGGTGATGGATGTGACTGACTCAACTGATGGTGTGGGAGGGCTTCCCTGTACAGATTCATTCGTGTCGATGGGATTTCGTAGTGTACTGGATGACTGTCTATAGCGCCGTGTGGGCTGAAGCAGAGGCTTCAACGAAGCTGGCTGAGGTGAGATGGTGTCTGCGTGTCTGTGTGTCCGTCTGTGTGTCTGTGTGTGTGTGTGGGTAGATAGGCAGATGTGACGATACACACATGCAGCTGTGCGCGTGACAGACACGTTCGTGGGTATGTTTCTCCTCTCGCATCGCCCATGTATGGCCGCCCTCCCCCTCACCCGCATCATCTGCACCCCGGCGTCCCATCGCACGTCCCTCCGGCTCCCCTCCTCCCTCCCTGTGTTGCGCACATCCGTCCACACCCAATCTACGCAAATCCCGTGGCCTCGAATGCCCGACTCGGCTTCGCCAACTCCCTCCCTTGCCGCCGCAGACGGCAGCAGGTGCGCTGTTGCGGCCGACGGGAACTGGCGGCACGGGGGAGTCTGTCGGAGAGGGGAGTGATGTGGGTGACGAGGTGGCGGGGGAGGGCAGTGTGGAGGAGGTGGTAGAGTCTCTCAGGACACAAATAGAAGAGGTAAGATGACTGCACCACAGCTCGCCACCACAGACATCGCATGTTGTCTTTTCTCCTGTCACTGCAGATTAGTTGGGCTGGGCGAGTTCTGCGGGATGAGCACTCGCGAGTCCTCACGTCGGAGTGCGAAATGCCCATTCAAGCACACAACAATGAACACGCTGGCCAGGTGCCTGCCTACACTCAAAGCACCACACATACAGACATAGCTGCACACATACATCCTTTCCTCTCCTTGCCATTTCTGTGTCCAGGAGGATGTCGGCGGCTCTGCAGTGGAGCGTCTTCGTCAGGCAGCCGAGAAGGTGAAGGCTGCAGAGGCGTCGCTGTTGAGTGCGGCCAACACCTTGTGCAAGGTCAAACTCAGCAGCAGACAGCCACTGCCCGAGCCACCGGTGCGCACACACCACTGCACACAAAAGACCATGCAGCGAATCCCACACCTTCACCTGTCGCTTCTCTGCATGTGTGTGTGCGTGTGTGTGTGTGTGTGTGTGCAGGCGGCAGATCGTGTGTACGGTAACGTGGACGCCCGCGACCACCTGCTGACCATGCACTCGTTCTGGCAGCTCGCCAAGGCCGCCGCCCCCCACTGCGACCACATAGTCTTCGACTTCAGGTGCCGCGACGAGTGGGAGTCGGTGCCCCCCGCCGCCGCTTTCGAGATCGGCAAGCGTGCCGTGAACCTCAAGACCGTGGTGGTGCGGCACCCCTGGCACTCCCCTCACTGGTGGATCGGCGGCTGTTCGTCATTCATCGAGGGGCACTCGCGCGGCGTGGAGGAGAGGAGGAGGAAGACCGGGCAGGGTGGGGGAATCGAAGAACTCGTCTTCGAGTCCATCCCCTCCGAGGGCGCCGACATGCCCCGAACGGTCCCCCACATGCCGCTCCCTCCCATCCCCCTCCTCCCATCCTTCAGTTTCCCGGCACTCAAGTCCATCAAGGGCGCCAAACGGGACCACCGTCACCTGTTCGACAGTCGGCGGTGGCGCATGCCGGCTCTCGAGCGGTTCGAGGGGCGTGTGGGGTCGTTTGGGGCGTTCTGCGGCACGTCCGATCGGCTGCAGTCCTTAGATGTTGGCGGCACTTGTGTTGGCGATGTAGCTGGTGTGATCGAGGGATTCTCAGGCGAGGGGTCCTCCAAGCTCGAGCAATTGCGGCACATCCGCGGCCTCGGTTTGGGGGGCCGACACGGCCTCGGTTACGAGGTTTGGAGGCTCAGTACATTTGGGGGCCGAGACGCGGACGCAGAAAGCTTAACGTGGGACGCAGAAAGCATCGACAGACTTCGGGTGAGGCGCAAAGAGCACAAAAGAGAGATATCCGACACATTATGTCGTTGTCTGTGTCTTAACGGTGTCTTTGTAGGATGCGCTCACGTCGCGGGGATGCTCGAAGCAGCATCTTGACTTCGTTGACCAAGGCGAAGACCTCAAACTGCCCACCCTCCAGGCCATCGACAGATTCCTACCTGCTGCAGTCCTCCCATTCGACCTTCCCCCGGCCGAGCTGTCGGTCAGCTTTTCCGACGGCTTCCCCGTATTCGACGTTTCGCTGCTGCATCGCATCCCCGCCCCCTCCCCCCTGATGAAGGCCATGGTGCGGCAGCTCGCCTCGCTCGCCCGCGGAGTCCACTGGATACCGGACGTGGCCTTCATCGAGCACCCGACCGCCCTCTCATGCGAGAGCATTCGATTCAACAAGGCCAGGTGGCTGTACATCCGCCCTGCTGGCCAGACATCCGCCGCCGGCCCATCCATCCCTGACCCAGGTGTGTGGTCGGTCATCGACCAGATCGCTCCATCGGCTTTCCCGTCGCTCCACTCGCTGAATGTGAGCGGTCCGTTCGGCTGTGCGGCGGCCACCCGGCTGGTGACGGCGGGCAAGGTCCGCATGGTGGCAGGGTCTGGCGTGTTGGCGGGTGACGTGGAGGGGTCGGAGGCCCTTGACCTGATGAGGGCGATGGGCAGCGGGACAGTGCTCGGAACGGTGGAGATAGCGGGCGTGAGGGATGTTTCATACAGCTATCTGTACCCGTGGGGGAATGTGGGCGGGCTGGATGAGTGGGCGCGGGCGAGCGCCCGTGACGAGCTGCCCAAGACCAAGTCTTTGAACCTCACCCTTGGCGGCCGTAAGCAAACGAGACAGATGCAACTCGTCCATCCGAAATGAATTAAGATGTCTCTGTCTCCCTTTGTGTGCATATTCACTGCTTGCAGAGGCCATTGAGTTGGAGCAGATGGACACGATGCTGCGGCAGTTTCTGACGTCGACGAGCAGTGTACTGATCGAGGTGTACATGCGAGACGGGGGGGAGTTCCTGGCCGCCGTCACGAGGCTCAGAGCCATGACTCTGGCTGACGGCGAATGGACCACCATTCCCCACTTATCGCTGGTCAAGGTTTCTGGCCGCCGGACGTAAGTGAGGAGGGGAGGGGGATCGCCTGCACACTTGAAGGGTGGATGTCGTTGGGTGTCTGTCTGTCTGTCTGTTTATCGTGGCCGTCAGGTAGCTGCTGCTGTTGACGCACACAAGAGTGAGTGCATCTGTCTACTCATCGATGTGTGTGAATGGGTGTGGGTATGAGCGAAAGACTCAGCTAGGGGTTGAACCAATGCATGTGTAGAGAGAGTCCACAATGTGCGATGTGCTCGTACGATCGGACAGTGTGCAATCTATCGATGGAGGTTGACGGTTGTCATCTCATGGTGTCCACACACGCCTCATGCACATGCAAATTCCATCTCACGAAGTCCAGAATTCAATCTCAAAGGGGAAAAAGGCACTGACACGACACGAGGCAACGAGGCAACGAGGCAGGTAGCCAGGCAATCAATCACGACAGCCAGCCTTGACAGTCACACAGCCCTGTCTGTCTCTGCCTGTGTGTCACAAGTCAACCAACCCGGACCAAGGGGAAATGTGCACCCAACCGGTCTGTGCTGTGGGCCAACACAGACCAGGCTGGGCGAGCCGCAAAAGGGAGAGACAGAAGCAGAGAGCTGGCCTCTCTCATCCATCCATCCATTCAGAAAGGAGGAGTTAGTGAGCCTTTGCACCCTGGCTGCACGTGTGCACATGAGGGTAGGAAAACGAATTAAGGGTCGGGATGTGGTGTGGTGCCGCGCTAAAAGTCAAAGCGCACACACCCCGACACACAGTTAGTCTACACGCCAGGAGTCAAAAGGGTGGCAAGAGGGTCAGAACCAATCGAGTGGCCGCGCCGCGTACGGATAAATCGACAGACAAACAGGAGACCATACTGTATATGTGTGTGTGGGACGGGACGTCAGTCGATATGCACACAGGCAGGCAAGTCGAGTACAGGCAGCCAAGCGGACGGACAGCCAACCAGCCAGCCAGACGAGCCCAATCAGCATCGCCTTACATATCACAATATTGGCCATCGACAGTCTCACACAATATACACCATCACCATCACAAAAAACCGTCGCGGATTGCATTCACCAGTCTGGCTGTCATATCTTGCCGACAATGTGACACCGCCCAAGTCCATCCATCCATCCATTACACACAGTCGCCCCGCGGCACAGGAGCATCACTCATGAGTCATGCTCCTGTGCCGCGAGGCGACCGTGTGTAATGGATGGATGGATGGATGGAGGGTGTCTGGCGATTCGTCTCGACACTTGGGGCAGGCATGCTCAACAGACGGAGCGGCCCCTCCCTCCTCCTTCGCTTACCCCATCATGCCCCTCCTCCCCCTCTGTATGACAGCTCATACGAAGGGGGAGGAGGGGCATGATGAGGTAGGCGAAGGAGGAGGGAGGGGTTTCGACACCCCCAGTCACATCACACAGAGCTGACACGCGAGAGGACCAGTCCCAACAAATCATCCATCCATCCCCTCATCCCTCATTTCATCCAGCCATCACAATCACCGATCATCCCTCGCCCCCTGCATCATCGACGGGCAGGCAGCCAGGCAGGCAAGACGGCACATCTAATCATCCAAGACATCCATTCCATTCAGAGCCCCCCTCCCCTACCCCCACCCGGCGGTCTCCTCCCGCCGAGGCACTCGGGACTAGCAGGACAGCACCAGCACCACCGAGGGGGGAACCTGCCGCCCTCTGCAGCCACCACTTCAGCCAGCACGTCAAAAATCGATTCACCATGATCGTCAGCGGCAGTAAGAGCCCGCTCAGCGCGAGCAGGTTGGGCGCCTCGATGAGAAGCGCCCCCCGCTGTCGTGTCACATACAGCCAGTCCCGCACGCGTCCCTCCAAAGCCAGCAGAAGCCATGTGGAATTGGAGCCGCATGTGTGGAAGTGGCTATATGTGGCACGACAGCGTGGAAATTGCATTGTTTCGTCGGCCTAACGCTGGTGCTGCTGGTGCTGCTGGTGCTGCTGCTGGTTCTGCTGGTGCTGATGGGGGTGGGTTGGGGTAGTTTCCAGTGGGGAGTGGCTGTGCCGGGACGGCCGCTGCGCTGCATGAGGGAAAACATCATAACCACACACACAGGAAGACACACACACACACACACGAGCACACACATACACACGGGCAGAGAGGTGTGTGTGTGCTCCTGTGTGTGTTCTTTTCAATGGCCTCTCTTGTCCTGTCTGCTGGTGCGAACTCACCAGGGTGCTGTGGGTTCTATTGGTGCTGCTTACTGGTGGGACACGTCTGCGATCTCGCCAACACGCAATCAATAAGATATGCACTGACTGCAATGCCGCACACACATCCAAACACACAGACGGATGTGAGACATGTGGTGGTTTGCCGTCTGAGATCCCCTCGCTGATCTGACTGCCGCAAGCAGCCCAACCGTGCACGCAGCCCTCACCTATGTGTTCATCACAGACTCGCGACGACCCACCAATGCCGCTGGGCAGCGGCGCTGTTTAAGCTGTTGTCACACGACTTGTCCTTGAACGATCGAATGCTTAAGCAGCTTCTCGTGAGTGCCCGACTGGCCGGCAAAGCTCAAAGCGCGTTGAGGAGAAACCATACTGAATGAACAAACCACGCACCCAGAGAAATAGACAGAAAGGTGTGATCAGCTACGCGTCTGAGTATGCGTGCAGGTTCGCCCGCCGATGCTCTCACCTGGTGCAGGCGGCCCGGGGTCCTGGGTGGTTGTGACGTTGTGGGGTGGGGGAGGGCTGTAGGTTGAAACTCTTGTGCATAGCGACCACGACCTGAACGAATAACCATGGACAAAAAGAGGGGCAACACCGTGACGGTGCTCGTTTCCTGTCAGTGTGTGTGTGTGGCTTGGTGCTCCTGTTCATCACCTCTTCCAGCAGCAGCAGCAGCAGCAGAAGCAGCAAGGGGAGCAGCAGGAGCCATAGACACGCCACGGCAGGCCACGTCCGGCCTGGCCCGACTCCTGAAAGGGATATCCGTTAATGTGGGGCGTGGTGTGTTGTTCCTTGTGTCTGTCTGCCTGCTGGGCTTCATGTGTGGGTGCATACCGTGAGCTGCTGCACATTCCTCGTGACGACGGTGAGGGCCTCCTGACAAACAGCCAGCACAGGCACAGAGGGACAGACACATGGGCTGACTACGTGTGTTTGTCGCTGTACAAATCAATCACTGTGTCCGCCTGTGCCTTCCCACCTCCGCCTCGTCGATGGCTTCGTTGAGCGTAACGCCGTGGTCGAGTTCCAAGTGCCGCTCAACGTCATGGTCATACAACTACATGGTGACTGAGCGTTATGGTGACCAGCACGCCACGCAGCCGATTCACCATGACGTTCAGCGGCAGTAAGAGCCCGCTCAGCGTGGGCAGGTTGCCCGCCATCGATAAGGAGCGCCCCCCGCTGTCGTGTCACCCGCAGTCAGGTCCGAACGCGTTCCTCCGAACCAGCAGCTCCAGCATCAGGCCGACGTCGCGATGTTCGATCTGCCGCATTTTGTCAGCCTGCCACAATTCCGGGTGCGGGAATTGTGGCAGAGTCACAAAGGGAGGCAGGTGTCACATTGCGAGGTCGGTCGTCCGGCTGCGGGGGGCGGGCCCATTGTGCAGATGTGCGTTGGGGCTGATGGGGTAGTTGGGAAGAGACAGTGGCGGGCCGGGTGCTGCAAGAGGAAAAGCTTCAAAACCACACACACAGGGAAACACACGGAAGCAGTCTTTGTGTGTGTTCTTTTCAAGGGCCTCTCCTGGCCTGTCTGCTGATGTGCGAACCCACCGTGCTGGTGATAGTGGTGTTGGTGCGGTACGACGTAGTGTTGGTGCCGCTTACTGGTGGGACACGTCTGCGATCGCCAACACTGACTGCAATGCCGCAGACACATCCAAACACACAGACGGATGTGAGACATGTGGTGGTTTGTCGTCTGAGATCCCCTCGCTGATCTGACTGCCGCAAGCAGCCCAACCGTGCACGCAGCCGCTCACCTACGCATCACAGACTCGCGACGACCCACCAATGCCGCTATGCAGCGGCGCTGTTTAAGCTGTTGTCACACGCCTTGTCCTTGAACGAAAGAATGCTTAAACAGCTTCTCGTGAGTGCCCGACTGGCCGGCAAAGCTCAAAGCGCGCGGTGAGGAGAAACCACACTGAATGAACAAACCACGCACACAGAGAGAGAGACAGAAAGGTGTGATCAGGTGCGCCTCTGAGTATGCGTACAGGTTCGCCCGCCGATGCTCACACCTGGTGCAGGCGGCCCGGGGTCCGGGGTGGTTGTGACGTTGTGGGGTGGGGGAGGGCTGTAGGTTGAAACTCTCGTGCATAGCGCCACCTGCATGAGGGACATCGAAACCACGCACACACACACACACGAAGAGAGAGAGAGAGAGAGAGAGATGTGCCCCCTATTGCTTGCGTCCGTTTGCGTGTGTGTTCATTTCGGTGGCCTCTTTCGTCCTGTCTGCTGGTGTGTGAACCCACCGTCCTGGTGTTGGTAGGGATGTTGGCTGTAGTGCTGGTGTTGCTGTGCTTGGTGGTAGTTGTGCGGTGCTCCGTAGTGCTGGTTCTGCTTCTACGCCATGGTGAGAAGGACGGAGATCAGCAGCTGATCAACCAACAGCACTATGGAGAGCTGATGTACTGTTGGCGTGTGGCGCCGTGTGCTTGTCTTGCTGTCCTTGCTGATGTTGCTGGTGCAGCCCGGTGGGGATGAGGTTCTTCCAACACTGCCCTCAGAGCCTTCAACGCTGCCGATCTCGCTGGTTGGATTGCCACAGATCGCGGGCGGCAGATCTCACTGGCTGGCTGGTGCGCCGACCCCCTTCCTCGCCCGCGAGATAAACCCTACGGTGGTCATAGCGGTGTACTAGTCCCTACGCCCGGCGCCTGCCTTTCGGAGAAGAAGCCGCCATGGCGACGTATCAACGCCCTCCCAGCATCTTCATCGAGGCCATGAGTGCCGAGAAATGGCCGCAGGGCGCGGCGCGAAGGGGCCAGAGGCTGACCCAGCTGAGGCAGCGTAAGGGACAGACAATAACCATGATGCAGCGAGCACACAGGCAGACAGGCAGACAGGCAGACAGGCAGACAGACAGACGGGGCGAATGGGACGGCGAGACGAACGATTCTCTTGTTGTGTGTCCTCTTCTTTGCGATGGCGGACTGCAGCGCTGGCAGGGCTCAGCCAGCGGGGGCTGGAGCGGCAGCTAATGCGCCTCATCGAATTCGTGTGGTACTTAAAATGTACGCCGACAGAACTGAATCGTCAATCGCCCACACAATGTCCTCCTCAATGCACCGCTCGCAGCGTTGCACCGGGATGTCCAGCAGGCCAAAGACGTGGCCTCTTACAAACACGACCAGGAGCGCAAGCGCCGGGTCAGCCCCCACATACACACAAGTCATGCGACTGCCAGCTGAGCTGCATGTCTGTGTGTTTCTGTTTGGGTACTTTTTCTCTTGTGCAGCTCGCGGCCGAGCAGGAGGTGCAGCGGCTGAGTGCCGAGCTGGAGGAGCTGCGCGCCAAGCAGCAGCAGCAGCAGCAGCAGGTAGGCATGGCTGCACCATGTCTGCAGGGCAGGAGGGATCGGCAGGCACTTACTGTGATTGATGCAGTCATTCGGTGTCTGTGTGGCTGTCTGTGTGTTGTCGTCAGGCCGCTCAGGCCCCCCCAGCCGCCCCTGTCGAGCAGCACAGCGCCGCCGCCCTCCCTCCCCTCCCTCCCCACCACGCACACCCCCGCCCCGTCCCCACCGTCGCTCCCCTCCCTCCTCACCGCCACCCACTGCC